CATGGTGTTAAACTCTTGGGAGCACACAGGCAGACATATCTTGATGACAAAGAATTTGACAAGATTTGTTGGTATGTGCTAAACAACTATGATGAGGTAGAGCCATATTTAAGGTGAGTGCTTCTTTCCTAAATTGTGTGTGCTAGTAAACAACAATGCTAAACATGGGTGACCAATACATATTGCAAACTGTGTGTGCAGCAAGTTTAGACAAAGTTAGAGGAAGAAGGTGGCCATGATGTTGAGAATAGGTTGGAAAAGGAATTTCCTGCTTGGTTTAGGAATCATGTAAGTGGTTTCATATTTATTTTGTGTGCAGCAAGTTTTTTTTCATATTTTTCAAATTTTAACTTATTTGGTGGTCTTATTAGATCAAGATGCTATGGATGGATAATCATGAAGATGTTAGTGAAGGCCTATATGCAATATCATGTCCTCCTTGCCTTAGAGTGAAGTTATGGGCATCATGCAGTGTCAATGGTGTTCGATACAACACTGTCGACCGTGAAAGACAAAGGCAGACACAAAATAGTGGTGTGCTGGCAGATGGAACACATAACAGTGTGCCGACTGAATTTTATGGTCAGCTCAAAGAGATTATTGAGTTGAGCTACAACTCCAATTTGGAATCCATTCGAACTGTGGTACTTTTTCGGTGTGAGTGGTTCAGTCAAGATGGCAAAGGAAGAGCTGTTAGAGATGATGGCCTTTTTAGATCCATCAATGTGGAGAGGTTTTGGTACAAGTCAGACCCATTTATATTAGCAACTCAATCAAAAAAGATCTTCTATTGCCAGACACATAGTTTGGTGAAAATTGACGTGTTGTCCAGAAATTTGAGCATAGGAGTATGTATGATGTCACTGAAGCAGAATTGAGTGCTGTTCACCAAGATGAAGCTGGTTCTAATAATGAGCTTTTGGTGCAAGCTGATGATGATGATGATGATGGATTAAATGAGCCTGCACCGGTGTACCGACGTGTACATGGAGAGAAATCTTCTATTGCTGGTAACTTACAAGATCTTATCAGTAGAAGGGAAGAAGACCTGGATGCAGACAGTGACTCTGAAGATTATGAAGATGACACTATATTGGAGTATTTTAGTGAAAATGACAGGGATCCCATGGAATGTAATGATGATGATCAGCTTCATTTTTCTTGTATTTATAGCTTCATTTTAGTGAACATTTGTAACAGTGACTCTTTTGTTGGCTTGACACTGCCTTTTTT